CGTTTTCTGAAAGCAAAGAATTGACAAGAGGAAGACAGATCTAAGCTGTCATGCACTGCCTAAGGAGTTGCATAGGAGCTACTAAATCATTTGAGTGCCTGCTCAGCTGCATCAGTTCTGGGAAATAAAGTGGTCACTGGGCACAAGAACAGCAGTGACAGTATTTTTAATTCCCAGTTTGGGTAGGTAGATCATTAGTTTATGTAAGTGTAGTTTAGGTACAGGAGCATTTTCACAGCAGATTTTTATGAAAAAATAGCTAGTTCTGTGGCTGATTGTAAACTCCCAACCATTTTGTAGTGGTGCAAAGCATGGTTTATGTGCAGATTTTCTCTGCTGTGAGGTCATAATAAAGCTGTGTACAGATAGTACCATCAATTAAAAAATGCTGACTTAAATGGATCTGCTTTTGGGTGAAAATCCTGGTTTGCCATTATAGTCCTACAGTTGGTTGAAATTAATGTTCATAGATTTAATTCATTTTTAACTGTATTTCATGATGGGGAAAATAAGTATATGTCAACCCAAATCTTGCCTGTGCTGAGTTTTGGATATCAATTATAATTAAGATTCTTTTGTTGAAGAAAGAACATATTGCATGAAAAGAGGAAATAGCATTCTGTTATATGCTAAAGTGTAATAATTTCCTTCTGAGAAACTTTAAATTATGTCTGGATCTTTTATGTAGGGTTTCTATACATGCAATATGAACCTGAAACAATCTTGCCCCAGATATCAATACCAGTACTTTTAAATTCCAAAGGTTTATGTGTTCTCTGCATTATTAAACACGTACACTGATGGGGGGGCAGGGGTATGACAGAATGGTGACCTTTTCCCGGTGTTGGTTATGGAATAGGAAGCTGTTGGAAAATGATTGCCACAGAGCTGAAAAGATAATCGGATGCAGTTCATTACTCATCTTGTCAGCTGCTCCTGCTACAAGGGATTGTATCACAAGATGTTAATCTGCTTGTGACTAGATTTCAAAGCAAGCATTTTTATTTTGGAGGGGGTGTAAGTAATTTAACATACTTCAATTTTATTTCATTTCCAGAAGCAGGAGAAATGGAAAATTCCCAATTTAAAGTCTCAGAATGTTAATTGATAAAAATATTAGTACATCCTTGTGGGTTCTGTTATAAAAATATGATGATATGCTACAAAAAGCTATTTAATTGCAGAAGTTGTTCTTTTTAAGCTAATGATGAGGTAGTGTATTCCTTGAGTAGTGGAAGTTAGACCACTAACAGAGTTCGGTGTATTCTGCCAAGATAGCAAGTATAGACAAAAGACAGATTTGCACCAAAAGGAATTCCTTTTACACATTAAATCATTAATCTGGATGTACCCAATGCTCCCATACATTGTCTGCAAGTGAAGATATTTGGTATAAGTGTAGAGGAGGACTAAATTCATAACTTACACTCCACAGATGGGAAGATGACACAAAAGCAATTTTAGCTAGACGACATTTTCTGAAAGTGAAAGGCCCAAAAGAGCAGTTACTTTCTGATACTGTGGGATGTTGCTCACAGTGCTATATGAAGCATGCGGGAAGGCTTACAAACTTTTCGTACAATAAGATGAGCTGGTAGATTAGCTGTGCTCATTTCAGGCAAGCAGGACTGCCCTTTTCCACCTTCTTAAGTCCTTGAAGTTGTACAGCACAAGGAGAGGGACATTGCTATAATTTCCTGCTAAGCTGGAGAAAACCACTCCTTTTGCTACCCTTTGTGTAATTTTCTGTATCAGTTATTTTGAAATGGAATTGCACATTATATTTTAAATAGTTAAATTATAATTTCCATTATGATCTACAGGCACAGATGTAATCTCTATTAGAATACATTATATAAAAAATAAACAGTGAGATACTTAAAAATGCTTTAAAAATAATATATTGAGTTAATGTGTAAGCAACAGAAATTACAAGTTTACACAAAATAAATAAATGGTTTCTGGGTGCTCATGGTTGTGTATGCCACTTTTTACTCCAGCAGGAGTACCTAATGCTAGTGCCTTGCTGTATTGCAATTTTGGTAGCTACAGTCCACCTACTTAGATACCCCCTGGTGTATGCGTAGGCAACAGTATTCTCAAGTTCCTGCCAAAAACTCTTGCACGGTCTTCTGTGTGCTATTAATCAGCAGCTGTATTTCACCTCTAGAGTGACTGCATCTTGACACTGGACAAAGTGTCTTGCATTATAGAAGCAACCAGTAATGACTCCATAGATGGTGTTTTCAGTTGGTCCAAAACTGGGGCATTAATAATATTTTCCCCTAAACATTTTTGGCTGAGTATCCAATAAGTATGAGATGATACTTGAATTTTCCGTGTGAGAAAAGAGAGCTTTTCCCATCTCTTTCTCCTCATACATAATACAGTTGGTTAGCAGAGACGTGAGGGCCTTCAGTACAAAATGCTGATACGGTTAATGAACACCAGTTGCTCAGGCCAGAGGACACAAGGTAATGGGCAGAGGCTTAATTGTACAGCTCTGGCTACTCTACAGATGTTTACATGAGCGCACACATATGTATGTATGTATGACTTTATATTATATATGTGTATATATAGGTACATACAAAAGTTTTATATTTTCACAAAAACATTAAATATTGCCGCATATATGTTACTGTTATTTGTCACCCTGTTGAATCTGACAGTTAAGATAGAAATGTTGATGTGAAGGGACTACATGCAGGTCTGTTTTCGAGACCCTTTAATAATTGCATTTTCTGCTGAGACTGTGACAGAGGTGTAGCTGGTGATTACAGTAATGAAAAAAAGTTGTTTGAAAGTGCTCCGTAAGTATTTTTCCACCTCCATTAGATTATTTAGAAATTGAATTAAGTTACCATGCTGAATAGGCAAACATTGTTCCAGGTTCAGATAGAAAATATGAAAGCTAATTAATTTACTCTATAGTTGATGTGAAAGGCCATTTGTTTTATAGTAGTTTTCATGTTTTAAATGTGAAACGGTATAATGAGGAACTGAGTAATTTCATGTTTATGCTATAGTAATAAATTTACAAAAAACCCAAAGATATTTCATGCAGTGTTCCTTCCAAATCATTGTCTGATACTGTAATTTTATTTTGCCTATTTATGAAAGTCAAGTACAGTTTTACAGAAAATACAAACATAACTATAGAATAAATTGTGTCAGTTTCTAAATCCATTAGTGTTAAAAATGTCAAAAATGAGATTCCATCATCGTAGTTTATTTTAGTATTCTATCTTATTTCTCATACATTTTGTGAGTGTGAATCCAGCAGCATAAAAGATGTTGTCTCTTGATTCTTAACACATGACCCATAAATTTTATCTTTCTTTGAGTATCTGTAGAGGTAAAGGGTGAGGTTGGATGAATTCCTTATCGAATCTCAGAATTTGTGAAAGAATTCTATTGGATAATCCTGGTTTTGGTTTTTTTAAAATCTATTTTTAGGTGTCTCAGTGCACCTTTGACAGATTTTCAGGTTTTATATCAATTCTTTAAGATGGTAGTTTTTAAATTGCTTGTCTTGAAGTTGCAGTCTTACAGTTACCAGAGTCAGTGGAATGCAGTGGTACCATGTTAATGAATGACATTCTGAAAACCTTCATTGCTTCACTTGCTAATGCAAGCAGTTAGATTGCATTTATTTTTTCCTTTTTCATCTGAAGTAGTAATTCAGTTTGGAGTAGCTGGACTTTTATATTTGACAGCTAATCTCCTCTTTGTGGTGCTGGGCAGTGCAGAAGTTGAACCGACACTGTGAAAGGGCTTATGTTATTAACAAGAACTAGGGCTGTTTGCAGAAAAAAAAAATGCTTTTGTTTGCATTTTTCTCATGGTGAAGTCACTGGTGGTGCCAGAAGGAAAGCTGAGGAAATGTATCCCCAACAGCCATTTCAGTGTTGAGCCCTTTGCTTAACATCTTTAGATGTGAATGTTGTGCTTTGATTTAAAACCTTGAAGGTGTCAGAGTGAGCCAGGATAGAAACAGCCAAGTGCCAGCATAAGAGCCTTAGAATTCCTGACATTTGTCATCACTGCTGGCCGTTTCACTTTTTCATCTGATCACTTTTTTCTGATTATCACTATAATTAGTGATTTGGTCAAATGAGTTAATTTATACAGTAGAGTCAATACATTACATGTGTACCATGCAAGGAAGTAAGTGGTTCTGTCCAGCGTGACCTTCCCCTTTCCATGGAAACACTGGACAGCCTTCAAAGCGTCAGCCTTCCATCCGTCTAGTGGGCAGGACAGGAAACCCATCATCTTCTCTTGTATTTTTGTTTTGTACCTCAGACACGCTGATAGGAAGACAGTAAAAGAGAGAAAACAATATCATGGTTTAATGCTTGAGCATAAGTGCAAGATAATGGGGTGAGTAAGAAAGCAGCCTGCTATTTCTTGTATGTCCTTTTTGCAAGAATGCGCTACCATGTTTCCGCTTCTGACAGCCAGCCCTGCTGACACAAGGTGCTGAGGAGTCAGCTGTGAGGTTCACTGTATTTTCATGTGTTTTATGTTTTCAGAAACGGAAAACTGTTCTGTAGGAAGCAGGGCAGTGTGCACTGGTTTTGGTCCCTGGTCGGTGTTTGCAAACATGTTGTAATAACAGTAACAGTAATTGCCATGATGTAGCCAGCATGAGAGCCTCCTCAGAATATGAAGGTCACTGTAGTGCAAAGAGGTTTCCTAACACAGCTCCTGGTGTTTACTGCTTCAGTCTACACTTGTGCCCCAAGAGAGCTGGGAGCATTTCTCTCAGACCTGAGGGAAAATATTCCATTTTAGAGAAGACTGAAGCTTTTATTTTGTTTTCTCCAACTTTTTTTTTCTAGCTTCAAACTTGAGGAAAACTTCTCAGACTTCATTTACTTAGTTTTTATTCTCAGTGATGTTGAAAAGCTTTGGCTGGAAGCATTTGCGTTGTTTAAGATTCTTTGAAAAGACTATGTTTTGAAACTTGTGTTTCTTTTGTCCCTTGCTATCAGGATGGCCAGTCTGATATTTTGTACAAATTTTGGACTGCAGTAACTCAGACGCTTTCTTCTCAGTTTCAGTCAGCAACAGACTGTAAGTATTCAGAATAAATGATTTGCAACGTGTTCATGTTATTTAGCATCTCTCACTTTAGTAAGCCCTTTGCTCATTATCTCCTCCACTGGAACTGTAGCACTGGTTCACTCAGTGCAGGGTCTGTGCATTTAAAACTTGGGTTTGTAACCAGACAGGCTGATCCTCCTAAACTGTGGTTGGATTTTCAGAAATAAATATTTAAATATTTTCTGCTTTGTTACGTATTTATTATCTAATAACAAAAATGTATTTTTGCAACTTTATGAAGAGGTAAAAATGGCCAGAATGGTACATTATGCTTTCCAAAGTGAGTGGGTTTGCTGAATTAAAAGATAGTAGTTTCATTTTGAAGAGCAGTTCTTACAGTCTTTTCTTGTTAAACACAAGTAAAAATCTGATTTTAGACATTTTTGGATACCTTTATAAATAGAAGTTGAGTTTCTTCAGAATTGTGTTTTGTCTAAATATATATGAATGGTTGGTGTTCTGATAATACATCATATTCTGTACATATGTACTGTATAAATAGCACATACAATCAAGGAATATTAAATAAAAATAACATATAAATGTAAGAGTACTATTACTGGTACATGCTAATGCCACATGCAGTTGGGTCATTGGTGAGTTTGGTGCTTTCATGAATACATCCTTCATGTTTGTATACAGTGTCTAAAGTTAATCCTTTGCACATACAGATAAAGTACATAAGATCTGCATTTATCTTTGTGGTCTCAGCTGTTGCATTGGCCCTTCAGAATTTGGTCCTTCCACGCTTTTTAGCAGCAATATGATTTTGAGGAACTATCTGGTGATTCGTGTTGCTCGGTTGCTAAGTAACTAGGTGATCCCGAAAGAAAATGTATTCTTCTTGTGTTAAAACATATTAATTTTACTGTTTGCCTTATACATTACTTCAACATCATTATGTACATACCCAGGATCTCTCATGTTCAAACCGAATATGTGCTATGTGTTTTCAGCACTCGGTTTTAAGACTGTAAAATTGTGACATCAGTTAATGGGATCAATCAACGTTTCAGAAGGAAGGGAACTTACTTTTTGTCTTACATTTTGTCAGCAGTACTTTATCTGACAGCTATTAAAAATATTTTATTACTTATGATTTTTAGTCATGTTTTTTATATAAATGTCCCAAAGGAGTGGTTGGATTATTGAACTGTGAATGTTTTCACTTTGCTACAGCTGAGTTTTGGGGAAACAATGCTTACAGCCAGTAGACTTTTTCATTGAAGTGGCGCATCTGTGTGAGACAGTTAATTTTTAACACACAAATTGTAAGTGAATCCACTGCCATCACTCTCAGACCCATGGATCATATAGATTAGGGAAGGCTAGACAGTATCAGGAAAACAGTGTAAAAATAGGGATTGATGGCTGTTTACAAAGTTTGACAATATTCATGTTCTGCTTTTGTGAGGTTCGGACAGTCTTTGTGACCTAAAATAACCGTGTTTGATAATAAACGTGGATCCTCCAGTATTCAAAATTAGAATATATTTGAGTTGAAAGGATAGGCTGGGTGAAATGGGGCAGATTTCCAGAACCTGAAAAAGCTATGAATGAGTGGAACAGTGTTAATCTCCTAATGTAATGGGAAATCCATAAAATATGAGTGATGTTAGATCGAGATTAACGGTGGTTGCTAAAACAGTTGTACATTTTTCTCATTTCCTGTTACCTGTGGCAAGCCTTTCAAGGCTGAAAATAATGCTGTTTTTTCTGCTGGCTTTGTCATTATTTGACAAGTTTAGGAATTGAATTTTAGGTACCTTGTTTTAAGAAATGTGTATAAATGCATATGCTTCCCACATCAGATTTCTGAAGACTGTGGCTCATAGAAAATACCTTTGTCTATTTTAAATGGGTGTCTTCAAAGTCGCACAGTCCCACACTTTTCCCCCATCAAGCTTTTGTAAGAAAATCTCTAGGTTTAAAGTGTTCTAATCACACTTGGGCCTTAAATGAGTGATAATACTAATAATTAACTTTGATACCACACGCATCACAACCATGATTAGTATCTGTATTGTGCAAAATAAGTTTTCTATGTCCCTTCTTTCAATTGTGGATTTTATGCTGATGCTTTAGATATGTACCTTTGTCAACTGCATTTAATGTGATAATTCATGCCACTTTGAAATTAATTATAAATATTACATTATTAATATTAAAAATAGGATAACACTGTATATAATTCATTTATACAAATGCAAGGTGCAGGTTTATATGTTGGTATGAACCAAAAAATCAGTTTGAACTTAGCAATGCATAGTTCACTGCTTTATTTTGCAGCCTCTATGTTTTTGAAACAAGCCTTTGAAGGAGAATACCCTAAATTACTGAGGCTTTATAATGACTTGTGGAAGCGCCTGCAACAATATAGTCAAAATATTCAGAGGAATTTTAACACGAGTGGAACTACTGATCTCCTTGCTGAACTACAGCAAATGGACGAAGATACACAGGACATATTCATGCAAAAAACCCAAGACTACGAGTATGTATTATGAACTCTAAGGCAATAAAATGTGAAGTTTTTCACCCTGCAAGAAAACAGAATATTTTTAAGAACTTAGTGTAATTGAAATTGTCAGAGTGGGAAAATTTTAAAGGCTTTTTTTTTTTCCTTGCAGTTATTGCTTTGGTACTATTTTAGAGCTGTAGGATTTTCATTAGGTTATACAATTAACAGTGTTGGATTGTCTCATCTTTCATGAGGGCCCTGACTTGGAGTTAGTTTTATCTTTTTGTCTCTTTGGGTGAAAAAAAGAAGCAGAATGATGAAAATTCAGTTTTGTATGTGTAGCAGTAGCTTTCTCTTAATTATACCACAATCATTGGAGCATGACAAATGCTCAGTTTGTTATGATTCACAGTTTTTATGTTTATACATCGTAGAATAAACATGATCTGAGTGGTGGATATCAGAAAGATCAAACAGAAACAGGCTCATCAAGCCTATTAGAACTTCTAGACTTATGTAAGATAAAATGAATATTTTATGTGAGATTTATATTAGCTTAAATACATTCCTGAGCAGTCAGTGGGAGACTTAGTCACTTCAATGGAGGCAAAGTTTGTTTCACCAAACTTCTGACAATGAGGTAAAATGTTTGAGAGCTACTGCTTACGTATTTTCAAAAATAGAACTACTAAAGACTAAAGCTTATTAAAGGTAAATTTAAGAACAGTCTTTCTAGTTGAATCTTTCTATATGCATAATACACCGGGACATACGTTTTTATTTTTTAAATGTATATTTTATACTTTATATCATGTTTTTAAATGCGTCATTGAGTACAAGCTGGCTAATGAAATACGTGAATATAAAAAGGTCTTTCATTGCAGTTCTGGGTATCTTGCTGATATTTTGCAGATGTTTTTATCACTGTTTGTCTCAAAAACACCTTGAATTAGGGATTCCTTGTAGGTCTTACAGAAAGTGCTAAGAACTGTGTTGAACTGCTCCCTGACTTGTTACATGTTTCAAGTGAAAAGCAAGTTGTTACACACTGTCAAAATCTTTTCAAACACACAAGTTTAAAGAGCAGAAAGAAAAGCCAGGTTCAAACCTGAAGTTTGTATGGTCTGGAAGGATTCAATGCTACTGTGTATTTTAATTTAAAATGTAGTAATTTTGTCTTAAACCCACAGTCCAGAAAAGGCCTTGAAAGATTCACTGCAACAATATGAAGCTGCTTACTTGTCAAAATCCTTATCTCGACTCTTTGACCCCATCAATCTTGTTTTCCCTCCTGGAGGTCGGAATCCTCCTTCTTCTGATGAGCTTGACAGCATCATTAAAACCATAGCCAGGTATGCACATATGAAATGTAATCTTCAACATGTTTTTTTCTCATAACAAATTTAGAAATGAGACTTCCTCATCAGTAAAAGGTTGATTGCTCTTTAGTTATGAAACTGGTTCTTAAATTGTGGGGTCCAGAACTGCACACAGTGTTCAGAGTGAGGCTTGATCAATGCTGAATACATAGGATAATCACCTCTTTATTATTACTTATAATCTATTATTAAGGCTTTTTCTTGTTTTTTGTTTTGTTTTTTTTTCTTGGAATAACTGGAATTTTAATTTAGATTTTACTGTTTAAGCTTATAAAACATCAGGAAGAGAATCTTAATGCATATTGTAAATGTCTGGTATCTTTATTATTCTGACTGTGTCAAAGCCCAAGCAACCAGGGTTGCTTGGCTGCAGGTGATAATACGTGATGTAAATATTCTGTTAGAGTGAAACAGCAAGATAATAGATAAAGACTACTATTCCAGGTAGCATTTGTGAAATGAGATGCTTAAATTAACAGTGGTGTATTTTCTCTCGTAAGGTTTTGGTAAGGAGTACTCTGTTTAATACAGTCTGAAAATGATGGGCAGTATTGACTGTTGTGACTGTGTCTCTGTGTGTGATATTAAATAGACACTGTACTTTGTGACTGGGAGTTTCATGTGCTCAGAACATGCCTATTGATGTGGCTATTGATGGCTATTTTGCTCGGTGGAGAGGAGAAGGGAAAACAACATGAAAATGATGAAATTTCAGCTGAGTTTTCCAGAGTGACCCTTAGCTAATAATGTTGGTGGCCCTTTGTTGTTCTCTGAGAAGGTTATTCCTGTGCCAGGGTGCCTAGAGTCTCTCTGGTCTTGGGAGAGGTTAATCTTATCAGTAGCAGCAGGATGGCCTTTGTACTTGTCTGTTTTCAGTAGAGCATTTATGAATGCAGTCCCAACTGATGGAGATCGGGGGGGGGTTTCCATGAACAAGAAATACCACAAGTGATTTAGAACTCTTTTTCTCCTTCCGTCTGTTCTCTGTCATTCCTCTGGGGCCTCTGTTACTATAAAGGATTGCCTAAAACACAGCTTATTAGTTGTGTCAAGCTAAGGCGTCCCCTGGGTATTTCTGCACAGCTCATGTAATTCCAGAGTTGAATGACTGTGTATTCACCTGTAATGTTTGAAGGCTGCTGCCAAAGCTTGAATGTAGTTAATTGCAGTCAATATTTTTGAATGGCTTACTAATAGTGATTTCATACTGAAGTGTCATTCCTAAACTTTGCTCATTTTTAGTAGAATAGGAGCACTGCACATAAAATTCCCAAGTGACTTACTAAATTGTAAACTGAATTACAGTGCGTAGAAAGACTTGGTTGTATGTGCTACTCTCTTGAAACTGACATGCCACGTAGCTACGTGTTCTTAGTTATTTCTTTATCAATTAAATACAGCATTGTTCAGTTGTTAATTAAGATTTGTAATCTTTGCTTCCAGTGAGCTAAATGTGGCTGCTGTTGATCCAGACCTGAGTCTAGCTGTGGCAAAAAATGTTGCAAAGACCATTCAGCTCTACGGTGTAAAGTCTGAGCAGCTTGTAAGTAATTTTAAATTTCTAAGAACTTAAGTTTTTCAGTGTCCAATGTTCTTGGTTTTGTAGATTTACAACATAATGATAAAACAATCTAGATAGATAGACAAAACCTTGGAACTGGCTTTTCATAGTGCTTGGAAACATTTTCTGTTAAATTCTGCCTTCAGATAAACACAGTCTATTGAAAAGAGTAAAACTTGTCTGTGTCACTCAACATTGAATTTGCCATATGAATTTAAAAAAATCAAAATCATAGATGTTGTTAAGTGAAATTGAAACAATTCAATTCAGTTTAATCTTTATCAGTGCTTGATATTCCATCAGTTACATGATATATTGTGTTTATGGTGTTAAAATCTGGACATTTTTTCCATATATTTATTATTTGCCGTATATTTAGCTGACCCTTGATTGATTTGCATTTGTCAGATGCTTCCAGTAGTTTGCCATGCACTGTTATCTAGTGCTAAAATGAGTAGAGGAAGGATCTCCAAAGCCTTATCCTTTGGATAAGGATCCCCCAAAAGCCAATGGATAGCACAGTGAATGTCATTGTCGTATGAAAAAATAATTTTCAAGATCAACAGTTTTTTCATAATCTGTTGGTGAAATTTTAATGCTTTTCTTATGAAGAGATGAAAATTAATTTTTGCAATATGCAGACCCCCAAGAAATGACTATTTGTATTTGTAAACAAGATTTTCATTTAAACAACATCAATTCTGAAAGCAAACTCAGACTCCAGTGACATTGATTACTGTATGTTTCATTTAAAGAAAGGCACTTGCTTACAATTTTTTGTAATGATCGGCTACAAAACGTTGCAGCAATTAAGTTAGTATGGGCTCTTTTTACCTCTGAGAAACCTGCTGTGCATGAATAGCTTGAAAGACATTGAAATTCACTAACGCATACGTTGTTTACTGTGTCTGTTGGATGAACTATATTGGGAGTTTGCAAACTAATGTATGGAAGAGGAATGTATGTGAAACAGTCACGAAGGCCATAAAGAATATTTAAAAATATGTTTACATTATTTTGCTATATATTATGAGTGTAGTCCTTAAGTTGGGTCTTCTTTTAAAGGCATTGAATTGTAGCTCCATAATTTCAGAGTGAAATTTGCTCCTGAAAGAGATCAGGATTTTTAGTAGGTTGCGAGAGTCGTCATGAGTAAAAAATATTACACTTGTGTCTCTATTTGTCATGGAGTGTAGTGTCAGGTAGTGGCATTCAGCTGGGAAAAAAAAGACCTATCAGCTGTAACTGTGAAAGCACCAGGGTCTATTGTGCTCATCATCTCTGTTAGAGTTTGAACCTAGCCAGTGGCTTGTTCGAAAGTGTACATTGTTTTGTGATCAGCCAGATGGCAAATTCTTAAGAAACCCTTAAAAAAAGAAGGATATGTAGAAATAAGCTGACAAGTATATGATTTGTGGCTTTGTATTAGCTGACCTTAAACGAAAAGAATGTAGGAGTAAAGGGGGAGTCTGAACTTCTTGAATTTGGCAGCTGAAAATAAAACTTTGAAAAACTGACAGGATTAGTCAAACTGGCAGAATGACCGTGACTGTCCTTCAAGAATATACCTGCACATTGTAAACCAGTATCAGGTATGTATTGCACAGCTACGTTTTACTACTTTTTTTTAATTCTCCTTACTGATACGCTGGTTACAAAATTAAGACCTGGAAGGACTCAACACAGTTGCCAAGGCATGGATGTGTAGTGCAATGTTTAAAGTGCTAAAATATCATGCCTTGCTTCCACCCACCTGTCCAGAAGGGCATGGCTCTCCCGCTTGTCACGTGCCATGCTTATGCCAGCCTTGTGGATATAATCTAGAACATTTTAACTTCTTTTTACACCTGTTTTTGGGCAGACAGATTGGGCCTGAAATGTGTACCATATGTAGAACAGGAGCTATGTCAGACAGCACTGTTTGATTATGTTTTGGTGGTGTAGCCCAGAATGCAATCTTAATTCAGTCTTGCAATCTAGCCGGCAATGATAGCTTTCTAAAGCTGAGAAGGGTGACCATGTAACATTTCCGCTCAGATAGTTCATTTCTGATGGCTGTAGTAGAGCAGTGCTAAAGATGGAAATGTAATTTCCTGGAGAAATTCACAATTGCGTTCTCTCCCAAATTAAAAGTAAACAATAGAGTCTCAAAATTCTCAGTGAAGGAAGATTGTGAAGGGGTTGCATTTACTACTCATTATTAGATTATTATTTTTTTTTAATACTGTTGTAATATTGCAGGTAGAATTGAATAGTGAAAAAACGAAATTTGCAGTCATAAAAGTGTTGAGACATTCTGATATCATTGGTTTTACTTATTCAATTTGAGAACAAAATAAATTGCAGTTCACTGAGATTTCATTGCTGTTTCTCCAGTTAGCTTTAGACAGGACAAATATCAAGGAAAGTGTTATTCAAGACTCAAAGATTTTACATGTGAGTAAAAGCAGCTTCCAGCAATCTGTACATGTAGTACTAAAGCAAAAACAAGTAAGAAAAAATGGCCTTTTCCTGTGAATCCAAACCATGTGTTTGTGTTACTTGTGACTTTGTACACTGCTGGCTTTTGGTTTTCAGCTTTCCCCACACCAAGAACTAGCTGTTGCTGTGCCTGAGATCTATTCTCGTATTAACCAGTTCAAATGATTTCAGAGAAGATATAAATAACTGTTAGTGAGCAGTAGATAGATATATTCAGCTGTTGGGTGAATCTTCAGCTAACCGCTTGCTGATGCTTGATGTGCTTGGTGTATGCCATGAAGCATTCAGAATTATTGTTCTAATTTCACTCAGTGTAATTGCAGATGTTCTTACCATAGAGGTTGAAGGGATAATTATACATTACACGAAATTTAAAAAACAGTATTTCTGTTAGTTTAAGAGTATTACCTTTCAGCTTCACCACCCATCCTGTGCATTGTTAGGTGGTGCTGAGGAAGGTTGCTTAGTACATTTTTTCCATGCCATTATTATATTGCCTCTACTTATTCACATTTTGCCTAATCAGATACTGCAATATTTCAGTTTAGTTACCATTTCTACATCCTTCTCATTCCATACTGGAAGAGAGATTAACAAATCTGATCATCATGTTTCGGTTAAGAGCAAAAACTTTCCTCTTCTGCATTTCCACATTGTAGTCCATCGCTTGCTTTTTAACATAATAGGGGCTTACTGAGCCAGATTTTGTCCACTTGCCACTTTGTCATACAAGTGAGGTAGCCTAGACAGGAAAAAACCAGAACACTAAGAAAGAACACTATCCTTTCTCCTTGATTTAAGAGTTTTCCACAGGGGTCATCCATTCCCATTTGCAAATAACTAAAGTTATCTGTCTTGACTGACACATACAGCATGTTGTGTTCTTGTTTAACTGGCCAGTTAAGGAATATGGCTCTTTCATCAGATGTTGACAGTCAGTATGGTGGAGGGAAGAGATTAATGAGAAATCAGTAAATTGCATTGAAAACAAACTTGAGTAATTTGGTTTTTTTTAAAAAATCCATGCTGCTTAACAAAAGACAGAAGCTCACAAATCTGCCTCCCAGAGAAAGTTTTACCCATTTGTATAACCGATAGTTGAGAAGAGATATAAAAGACAGCTTGTATCTCAACATTTCATTACATGCCTTTGAAATGGCAGCAGTAATTGCATAGCAGGATCCTCTAGCGCAGTGGGCTCTAAACTTTCTCGGTCATGCATATCTATCAGTATAAACATTTTGAGCATGCACCCCCCAATCTATTTATAAATTATATACATGTACTATTGAAGTTCTGATTTTTATTTCCTGCACCCCAGTGGATTGTCTTGCATAAAGCCTGTGATGCATACACCTCACTTTGAAGACCACTGCTCTAAGGTAATGCTCTGCTGTAATCTTCCATAATAAGAAATGAACAGATTTCAGCTGTCAATTTTTGGAAAAGTTGCCTGGTTGATTGCAGAAGTCTTTTAAATTCGTGTTTGATTTTGTTCATATGCTACTTTAAATCAGATTTCTCATTTATTTGTATAAAGATGAAAATGATAGTCACTTGTGGATTGAAAGTGAGACAAAACTGTATTTCCTCAGTTAATTACGTGTATTTTTGTCATTTACTGAACTGATTTTTAAAGGTAATTGAAATGTTGTGATTTTTCTCATTATTAAAAATCTCTTCATTGCAACTTTGTGGTCACTATGTTTTGGTTTGCCTGTTAATTAGAGCTCTTTCTCTTACTGATACTTAGAACTGGATGTCTTGCAGAGAGAAGTCATGAAACATTGAGGGTTAAAAGCTCTAAAAGTTTACAAGATCATAGTTTCACCAAAAAGCAGAAAAATCAATTGCAAGATCCATTGTCCTCATAGAGATTGAAGATGGAAGAGCCCTATTTGGTCATCTAGTCTATTCCCTTCCCAGCACAGGACTATTTCAAACAATATTTATTGTTGGGGTTCTTGTGGCATTCTTTCTGCTTTTATAGTGATGATTTTAGTTACCTGAATTGAAGTACTGTATGTTCTCTAACTTTTGTACTATTTCTGCTCAGCTTGGCATGTGGGTGGATTGAAATACACTAACACACCCACCAAATGCACATAGATGGTATGTGTTGTGCTATGAACATGAAAATGCAGCTGTTCAGAGAGTATGCAATTTTAGTACTTTTTGAACCTGGACACCTCTGCTAGTTTCCTCCCTAGAGTTATAGTCATCCTGTCAGACTGTCTTTATTAGTTGCAGTCAGAGTCCCACAGCAATCCTTCCTGTCCTGTGGAGGCTGTCTTGCTGCCGTCTCCCACTTACAAAGCATCACTGTAAGAGACAAAGTGGCCTGGTATCTTTTGGCCAATAAACAAGCAAAGCATGTTTTGCAGAGGCAGGATTGTAAAAGTCAGTTTGCCCACTTGCTTTTCAAGAGCAGGTGGGGTGATTATGTTGGCAACTTCTGGTGGATCAAATCAAAAAAACATTTTTGTATGTGGATATCTATT